GCTTTCAAGGTGAGAGGGGAATGTCGCACAGACAGGTCGCCAGCCGTGTCTCATTTCTTCAGAAGGTAGCACTAGAGATAACTGTCCTATGCTAAAATGAAAGACAAAGCAACAAGTCTACTGGGTCCCCACTCTGTGCTTAGATCTCTGCTAGGCTACGAGGACCCTGTGCAGGGACTAGCTCGTCAATGACAACACCTAGAACTGAGAGGCTTTCCTCTTGAAGGCAGACTCTGCAGGTGGAGAGGGACAGCAGACAGGTGAGTCCTGAGACCCTCCCCCTCCTTGTTGTTAGGTGCCGTCGAGTCGATTCCGACTCCTAGCAACCGTATAGGACAGAGTAGAACTGTCCCATAGGGTTTCCAAGACTGTAATCTTTACGGAAGCAGACTGCCACATCTTTCTCCTGTGGAGTGGCTGGTGAGTTTGAACCACCAACCTTTGGTTAGCAGCCGAGCACTTTAAACATTGCACCACCAGGACTCCTTCCCTCTTCTTCAGGTTCTCTAATTCTCTGGCTGGCTTCTGCCACTCTGGCCCCCGGATATGCTGTCCTGCTCAATTCCGTGATCCACATTTGGTGAAATTGTTCCCCTTGGTCCCTGTAGCACAGCTGAGATAGGCTGAAGCACTCAGAATAACGTTACCGAAGATTAAAGATCAGAAAGGGAATAAGCAGAGTACAAGTCGTCAGAATGTGGGAGCTGGCACACTCCAGGTGGCTGGTACTCTCAGAGGGAGAGGCCCTGTCCTAATCTGAGGGCTGCCTGAGGTCCCCATACCCTCACCCTTTTTTAGGATCAGAATGACCTCACTTGGTACCATCACTGCCACTTGGAGGGTGTTGTGTCTCAGTCCATCAGCCAGGAGCCACTCCAAGGCATCTTGACACCTTTATGATGAAACTTGGAGGCCCATCCCTAAATCCATAACTTAGTGCCATCAGAAAACCTCTGCAGTAGATGATTAGGTTACACACATCTAGAAACAAGAGGGTCAGGTGGCACCAAGTCCACAGGAGACATGACAAGTTCCTTGCCCCCAAGAAACTTATTGTTGGTAAGATAAGATTTATACCAGCGAAACAGAGTCTAGTGCTTGACTGCATTTGACTAAGTACTAAAATGTATCCATTCAGCAAACATAATGTTGAGTACCTAACTGCTAGTGCCAGGAGCAGCGCTAGATGCTGAGGGATGCTGTAATGAGTAAGGCAGGAAGCCCTTGCACTGTGGAGCTTACAGGCTCCTGGGCACGTGGAGCAAGTGATGCTAGTGTGAGGAGGGGGCCGTGAGGCTGTGGGTGCCTTTAGCAGGGGCCAACATTGACTGGGGGGATGTCTGCGCTGAGGGCTAAGGATGAGGAAATGGAGCTCAGGGGAAGTGGGTGCAGAGACATGGAGGGAGAGGGCTCAGAGCAGTGCAGGGTTGGGAGGGCTTCCTGCAGGAGCTCTGGGTTAACCTGGGCTTTGAAGAGTGAGTCAGAGAGACCCCTGATGGAGAAAGTGAGTCAGCATGGAAGACACGACAGATCAGAGGGCATCATTCTGTAGCAGCTCAGAGACCCGACTCTCAAAGCGAGTGGGGAGGGTAGTGGCGGGAATGGCTCCTCTGTGTGCGTGTGGGGTGGGGTGGGGTATAGGGGCTGAGAGTACACGGTTCTCCATGTAAATGAGGGAGCTTGCATAATGTATTGCCTTGGTTTCCCTCCACTCCTAGAAGTGCACCTTCTCTTACCTTCCCTGCCAAAGACGTCCCCCAGAGGCCCCAAGAGCAGGTCCTCTGCAGCTGGCCATCCCTGCGGCTGCGGAGGGGGGAGGCTCAGGCTTTCTGCCTGATATCAGCAGCCACTCATCTCGGGCAGCTGCCTAATGATGGGACGCCAGCATCACCTTTGAGCACGGAGATGAAAGCCGTCAAGGGCCTCTGGGGGTCGGCAGGTGGGGCAAGCAGGCAGGGGCAGGCCTGTCTGGTAGCTCAGCAGTGCAGTGGCCTCTCCCTCACACCCCCGGATTCCAAAGTTGCTTCTATCTATAGTTTTCCCCAGAAGGGAGCCCAAGGCTCACAGGAAGTGAGAGGAAGCCTCTCTTCCTTCAGCAAGTCTGGCCCCAGGAGACGCTGAGCTAATCCAGAAAAGGTCTGAAGCATGGGTCTCTTCACACATTGCTGACGCCAGACCCCAGGATTACAGCACAGCCTTCCCTGGGACCTGCCCCAGCTGCTGCCCAGGGCCACACAAGAGAGGTGGGGTTCTGGCCACTGGGGTGTGGGGACGCTTTAGAAATCAAGGTGTGGTGAAACTGCTCCACCCATACCCATTTGTGTTTTCTGACATCCAGAGCAGCTTTGCCCTACTCAGCTCCTCCCCCACCCCTACTCTGATGGAAAGATATAAACTGGGGGTGTAGCATGATTGCTAGGGGGCAAACAGGCAAGAAGGAAGGCAGCTGTGACAAAGTGTGTAGAACACAGGCTTTGGAGTCAGGTAGGCTCTACTGAGCAACTCGCTTTTCTTCTTGGAGCCTTATTTTCCGCATGTACAGAATGGAATTAGGAGTGCTACTCGCCCAACACATTTTGTTTTGTGAGTCAATGACAGATAAATAAGTGTTGGTGGTTAAGGTGACCACTGTCACATCCAAGAGTTCTCAACCAAAAGTCAATGGAGCCCAAATTTGAGGGATCTGTGGATTGCCTGCAATACTGTGTAAAAACGCATTTTTCTGGGGTAAGGATCCAGCTCTTACCAGCTTCTCAAAGAGGTCTGAGGCCCAACAAAGTTTAACACGCACAGCACAAGTCCGCCCCCCACTTTTTGGATGAGTTAACTGAGACTCAAGACCACATAGCTGGTTAGAGAAGAAGCCAGGACATGGAGCCCTCGTCATCCACCTCTTGGCCCTTGGTTCACGCCATTACTCTCTGGTGCTGCCTGTCTTGTCAGGTGAGGTGAAGGGTGAGGAGAGACCAGGGAGAATGAGAGCAGTGACCTCCTAAGCCCTACTGGGCACCAGGGCCTGTCTTCTCTGTGTTACAGGATGAGGGCATCATGGTGAAGGGTGGGGGGACAGTAAGAGACAGGAGAACAAGGAAGCCCCAAAGATGGGAGAGGTCTGGGAGGCCCACCTGGAAGCACACGTTGCCAAATAAATGAGTCATCCTCCCAGTCTCCCTTCCCCAACAATCCCCCACAAAGGACTCAGACAGGAGGAAAGAGCTCTCTCTGCATTGCCTTGAGATGACATCTCTGGTTCTCAGTTCCCTTTTCTGGAAAAAGGTGTGTGTGTGTGTGTGTTGCAAGAACAGCTCCGTGGAATAAGTAGGGGAGGTAGGAGGCTCAGAGAAGGTCCACACGCAAATGTAAGACAGTCATCACCCAAAGATACCATTTATTGAGCAAGTACTGAGTGCTGGGCATGTGTGGGATGCTTTGCCTAAATCAGGATAAATGTCACCACCTCAAGAGAGGCCTTCCCTGATCACCCTGCTAAAGTAAATCCACTCCTCTCCACCCCTCTGTTATCCTATCACAATTTATGACGGTTCTGTATGTTCTCTTTTTATTCTCTCTCTCCCCGTTGGACTATAGTCTTGGCAAGGGCAAGGGTCATGTTGGTGTGGGGAACATACAGTTCCTGGTAGCTAGTAGTCACTCACATACTTGTTAAATGAATGACTCTTTATTCTTCACAACAGCCTTATGAGGTAGGTATTATTATCATGCCCATTTTACAGAAGAAGAAACTGAGGTTCAGACAGTCAAAGAGTCTTGCTTAAGGACTCACTTTTCTTTCTTTTTTTTTCTCATGACTTTAGTTTGCTGCTTGCCCTTTTCAGGGATTCAGAGACCCAGAAAACATCAAGGTCAGAAGAAAAAGCCTGGCCCAGAAAAATGGCTCAGCAGTTCAGCCTCCACCCTGTGCCCAGCCCTCCTCGGCTGAGCTTCCCAACCTCTCATCCATCACACCCCAGTAGCTCCCAGTCATCAGTTCACAGCCGCAGAGCTGGAGGCCAGTCCAAACTGGCTTATTTCCCAAGCCAAGTGAGACCCAGCCCTTCCCTGCCCACCCAGAGAAATACACAGCTGGGAGTCCACACCCCACCCCTCAAGCCTTAACACAGCAGATAAATTAGGGAACTCTTTTTATGAAACATTCTACAGGGAAAATACATATAGAGAGAGTGCTGGCGTTGGGGTGGGGTTTGCTTCTTGAACACAGGTAACCCAATTCTGACACATCAGGGTGGCTGACCTTGGCATTCTCTTTGCCTGAAGCTGTTCATCTGCTGTCCCAGTTACCACAGATCCTAATGATCCAACATCTTGTCCCCCTCAAAGGGAATGGCTTCTTGGCTGCCCCCTACCAGCCTGCTTCTTTGAGGTGGATCACTCCCCCGCCCTTCCTCCTTAACGAGGGAGGCTGGCTTGGCCTGGTCCCAGGAATGTGGCCCTCAGGACCTGAAGACGTGGAAGACAAGGGATATTGTTTTCTGATATGTTTGGTGACCATGTATCATCCAAACCAGGGCATTTTTGAAAGTGGAAGAGGGTTTAATTCACTGGAAACCAGGCATGGACCTGGAGTGGCCAGGCAAAGGAAGAATGACCACCCTAATTATAGGCCTCCCCTGCTCTGAACTACTGGTCCAGTCCTGCCACTCTTCACTCCACAACACACCCCCACGAGCAGCAAACTCCTCCCAGGCCCCATTCCTACTCTCCATGGCCTTCCAGCACCAATAATATTGGTGACCTGGCGGGGATGGGTGGTTGGGGATGGTGTCTCCTCCTAATCTCATATGGGACCTGGCCACGTAAGGCCTCCAGTATCAAGCCCTGGGCCTTCTGGCTCCTCTGGTCCAATCCCCAAAGTCATGGCCACAAGGATCTGCACAGAAGAGTAGTGGGGAGTGCTGTGGGGAGACCTGAAGGCGGGGAGCAGGGGAGAGGTGAGGTTAATATCTGTAGCTGGGTAATCATCACCCTTCCCATCTCCCCCCGGGCACAAAAGGAAAAGATGTGGTCCAGCACTGTTGTATCTGCCTCTCATCCCACACTTGCCAAGCCTCCTCTCTGTAAGCCTCCCTGTAGCTAAGGGCCAGGCCCAGGGCAATATGAACCATCAATTCCCCCATTCCTGACCATGGCCAATGCAAAGCACTTCTGTTCCAGCACTTTCTCCACATGCCCTTCACATTCCTGGACCCATGTGGCTTCTAGGCTAGGAACCCCAGATATCACCTCTAAAGAGATCAACCTGTAGCTCCTTGCACTCCAACCCACATCACAACCATCCTGTTGGGTTCCAATTCAGAGTTAGCGTCCCACCCCTTGCTTTTAGAACCTTGCTTAAGAGGCCATGCTTGTAAAATGGCTTTAAATAAGTCTTGCTAAAGCAGAGAGTACCAGATAGCAGAAACTCAGGCTCCAGGCCCTTAAAGGCTCCTCCTCTTCTCCCTTTTTCCCTCCCACCCCTAGCTGCAAACAGTCCATAGTCATGCCACTCTTGATCTTCCCTGGGCCATTGCCTCTCACTCTTTGTCCCTCTGCCTGTGTTCAGGGAACAAAGACTCCTCTGTGTCCCTCCTGTTCCCCACAAAAACAAGTGCCCAGATCCGACCCCTTGGAGTAGTGCTTTGACAACCCCAGGCTCAGGATGTGGCTTTCCGATGGGCCCCTGAGTAGGCACAGGAGATGGGATGGTGGGTGCCAGGCCTCACGGTGAATGTGTTGATGGGGCTGCCATAGTGGGGCGTGCTGTGGGGACACCTGGAGGGGGGAAGCAGGAGAGAGGTGAGGTTAATATCTGTAGCTGGGTAATCATCACCCTTCCCATCTCCCCCCGGGCACAAAAGGAAAAGATGCGGTTCAGCACTGTTGTATCTGCCCCCGCAAACCCTGGGCTTATCAGGGTGAGACCACAAGGCTGACGATATTTGCTCAGCAGACACAGGGCTCCCCTTCCCGTCTAGGCACTGCTGGTCACAAAGCACATGCGTCGTGCCCTTCCACTTAGAATTCTTCCATTTCTAGCTGTATCTGGATCCATCAGCCCCCTTCCCCACCTTAACCTGAAGCCCTGGGATTCCAGGGGGTGGAAAGAGAACAGAGAAGAGGGGGAGCGGGTGGGGAGAGGAGGAGGATGGAGAAGGAGACAAAGAAGGAAGCAGGTAAGGGAAACGCCAACAGCGCCCTCTCCAGGCAAAGTAGGCCCCTCTCCCCTGCTCTCTTCATGAAAGCCAAAATTAAAAAACAACCCGAGGCTGTGGAGTTAATTCCGAGTTTTCGCATTCAAGGTGACCCCAGTAGAACTGCTTCATATGGCTTTCTTGGCTGTAATCTTTAAGGAAGCTGATCACCAGACTTTATTTATAAAGTTATTGTATTTGTTTATTTGGGAGGTCGAAATTCTGAACCGCCAATCTACAGGTTAGCAGTCGAGCACACGCAAACTGTTTGGGCCACACACACAACCAATATCCCGGGACTGGTGGCCGTGGCCTGGTCAGCTGTGTTCCAAGGGGTGTTCCCTACGTCACCCTCTCCAACCCCACCGCCACCACATCAGCTCACCTGCCAGCAGCATGGAGGAAGCCATAGTCACCGCTGGGCCCTTTGTACTTGGCGTCTCCGGCTCCCCCGCCGCCGCCAGCGTATGGCGCGTCCCGGGAGCCCTCCGGAGCTATTCTCCGGGCATGCAGGCCGCCGGGGGGCGCCCGGCCCGCCGAGTTGACGCATCGCATCTCCGGGCCTCCAGACGCTCCAAAGGGCCCTCCGGGCTGGGGCCCGATACAGTTGGGGGAGCTCAGGCTGCGGCCGGTGCCACCGCGGGGCAGCCCGGGGCTCTGGTGGGGTTCCCCGACGTACAGGCGCTTCTTGATGAGCGAGCGGCCGCCGGCGGAGAAGCGCTGCACGTCCCCGGCTCCAGCGTAGCGCGCACCCATGGGGCAGTGCGAGAAGCCGCGAGCCGAGGAAGCTGCGGGTTCCGCGTCCAGGGTTTGCCTCAAGTCCGAGAAATTGTTCCGAGGCGGGGAGCCCCGGTGGCCCGGATACTGGAGACTCGAGGTCGGGGGGTCAGGGTCATTGCTAAACTCTGGCGGCGGTGGAATGACCTCAAAGCTGAACTCCTCCTCCCTGTTGTACGAAGGAGAAGATGGAGAGAAGGACTTGGGAAGCGGGGGGCCCTGTGGGAGGTTGGAGGGAGCTGACCTTTCCCAGGCCACCGGGGCCTGGGGCTCTGCCTTTGTCCAGTTGTGCCAGCGGTTTGGCTTTGTGCCCTCTGGGTCTCTGCAGGGCTGGGGCTTCCACGGACTGGGTACCGTGGGCTGGGTTGACGAGGCCAGCTGGGGGTCCTTCGTGGTTTCCTTCGACAGCTTGGGGACCACAGTGAAGGAGTTGGGCTGGCCCTCGCTGTAGATGCTGTCAGAGCCTGCCTCTGGTGAGCTGCTGTGGCCTCGTAGACTCCCTGCAAGCGAGGACCGACCGAGGGCAGCCCCTCCAGGCCTTCCCTTTTGCGCCCTCTGCCGGGCTGCGAGGAGCAGGGCCATCGGTGAACCCTGATCCACCACCTTCCCAGTCACTGGGTGCCTGAGGAGTTCGTCAGCAGGTGGGGCTGAGACAGGGGTCTTGGCTAGCAGCCCCAGGGGCTCCTTCACCTCCACAGGCTCCCTTGACCCTGCAGCCTCTCCTCTGGCCAGGGTGGGCATCACCACAGCAACCTCTCTGCTGAGGCTGTTCTGGCTGCTATGGGGCTTATAGAGATACAGCACCTCTTCTTGGACAGAGGATGTCTTTGGTGGGAGGGCTGGAGACGAGGGGACTCCCTGTGTAGGCAGTTTACTGGCCTCTGAGGGGGACCCCTTTGCCTCTGGCTGGAAGGGCACTGCAAGTTCTTGAGATTCCACTGGCTTCTCCCCATGCCCAGCAGGGACTGGGTCCTTCCCTGCCATCAGCTGGGATGATGTGGCAGACAGAGTTGTGGCTAAGGATGGGGTGGCTGTCCCAGTGGTGGCCTTGGGTGGTGTGGCTGGCCCGGTGGTGGCCTTGGGTGGTGTGGCTGGCCCGGTGGTGGCCTTGGGTGGTGTGGCTATCCTAGACGTGGCCTTGGGTGGTGTGGCTGTCCCAGACGTGGCCTTGGGTGGTGTGGCTGGCCCAGTGGTGGCCTTGGGTACTGTGGCTGTCCCAGGCGTGGCCT